AATCTACTTCCATAGTGATACTGCCTCGGAAACCCAAGGAGGGGTCGCTATGAGTTGGGTCCGACTCGACGGCACATAGCAACAACAACAACATGAGCTAGCCCTTTAGTCATTCTTTCATTCAACACATATTTAATGTGTGCCTACTATGTCCTGGAAGAAGTGCAGCCAGACTGCTCCTTGGAAGCCAGAATGGCCAGATTTCATCTCACCTACTTTGATCATGTGAGAAAGGACCATTCCCTGGAGGATATCATGCTTGGTAAAGTGGAGGGTCAACGAAAAAGGGGAAGGCCCTCACCGAGATGGAATGACCCAGTGGCTGCAGTGATGGGCTCAGGTGTAGCAAGGATTGTGAGGCTGGCACAGGACCAGACAGTGTTTCATTCTGTTGTACATGAGTTGGAGCCAACTCAACGGCACCTAACAAACACCATGTCCTAGGCTCAGGAATGTGATAGTGGGCACATCAGAGTTCCTGCCTCCAAGAAACTTGCATTCTAGTGGAGGTGGAGTGGGGCAGGCAGACAGCTAAACAAGTAGTTACAGTTAACATGAGATAATAGTTATTCTGAAGTTAAGAACAGGATGGTCATGGATACAACCACCAACCTTCCAGTTGCTCAAACCTTGCGTAAGACAGTGCTGCAACAGGAAGGTGGTGCTAGTGGTGGGGTTAATGTAATGATTCTCTTTCCAGTCAAATGTTTGAAATTTCAGTTGATTTCATTACAACTCAGAAGAACCTGTCAAACAGATGGACAGACACAGGGAATTAGTTCCTTCTCTAGGAGAACAAGTTCTCAGCTCACAAATACGGAGTAATCTGAAGTTCTTTTAAGCTTGTTGCTCTAGCTTTTAAATGCATGTTCCCTATGGCGGAAAGGTCTTGATGCTAAATCACAAAAGAGTATATACCCACAGTACAGAAAAAATAGTATTGGAACCATGGTGCCTGATCTTCATTTATAGCACTGTGTGAGAAACTCTTCTCATTTTAACCAAGAATTCCAGGAGCATAAGACACATTCTGAGCAATCCCACCTCTCCTTCCCTACCTTCCATTTCCTATGATGTCATCTTCTCACCTGCCTAGCCAGATGTCCACTGACTTGCAGTAAGTTTGTCATAAGTGGAGTATGGTACTAAAATGGCCAGTGTTCTAGTTCATGACCTGTTAAGTTTCCCCCACTTTCTTTTATTTAGCATTGCTCCATGACCATTGATGGTTCACCCATCTCTGGCTGACATATGGTCAGTATTTACCATAAAGGGCCAGGTCTGAGAGTATTACAAATGAGTGACTGTTGATCTTGTAGGTGTGGACTGGGGAGGTGCCCTGTAGCTGTGCCTATGAATGGAGGAGACACCCCAGTCCAAGCAGAAGTGTATCCTTCATAACTGCTACATGATTATGAGGACTCAGCTGCCTCATTGAGATACACTATCTAAGGTAGTCCTAGGCTGCCCAAAGGTAGCCTGGATTTGAGAGTAAAGGTCCCCAAAGAACCCTACCAAGTCTGTTGTTGGAGGTGGTTTGGGCTAGGAGAGCTGGGCTCATGGGGGTAGGAGTCCTGGGGAGTCCCATTCTTTGCACAATTGTATCACAGATGCTTTCAGTATTCTTGAGGTTGTTGCTCCCCCAACAGAGGGAAAAGTCGGAAATCTTATTCAGGGAGTAATAGGCTTAAGTGGAAGGAGTTCAATGTTTGTCTGCTTTTAAAACCAAAGCCCTTGTCTACCATTGCCCAAGGATTGTACAGACCAAACTGCATCCCTGCACTGCCAGAGAGTGGGAACCTCTCCTTGGACCCTTTTGTCCATCTGCCATTTGAGAATGATCAACACACTAGAGGGACAGAGATGGACACTTTACAGATGCTTTTGCATTTTCCTCCTTTTGGGACCATTGTCTTTTTTTTTTTTTAATAGTTTTATTTTTCTTTACTTCAAACACATCCTGTTCAAATCATGAGTATAAAAGTATATTCCAAAGCCAATTCTAAAAGTCTTTAGGTTAAATATTTTTACCTATTAATACCATTATATAGATATTCAAGGAGCTCTGGTGGTATAGTGTCTAAGGCATTTGACTGCTAACCAGAAGGTTGGCAGTTCAAACCCACCAACCAGCCACTTCGCAGAAGGAAGATGGGGAAATCTACTTCAATAAAGATTCACTGCCTTGGAAACCCAGTGGGGGTCGTTATGAGTCAGAATCAACTTGATGGCAGAGTTTGGTTTTCTGATTTTGATAGATAATCAAAGGTTGCCTCACTATCCAATTTCCTTTGGCTCAGAGGCTTACCCTCTACACTTTGCAAACATAGTCTCTGGAATCTGCCACAGCAGTCAGCTTTTAGATACATGCATACTTTTGTAGACTTCTCTTCAGCTTTCACCATGGTAAGATGCAAATTACTTGATAATAGTGATATGTGGTTTTAAAGTACACAAGCTAGAAGCCAAAGAAAAAAACCTGCCTCTATGATAGTGATTGTCCTAAAAGCAAACAATATTAAAACCCAAACAGTTGCCACGGAGTTGATTCTGATCCACGGGGACCTCATTTATGCTGGGGAAGAACTGTGCTTCACAGAGCTTTCAGTGGCTAATTTTTCAGAAGTGGACTGGCAGAACTTTCTCTCAAGGCACCTCGTGGTAGATGTGAACCACCTACCTTTTGATTAGCAGTGCACTTAACTGTTTGTACTACCCAAAGACCTAAACAAGCAATAAGATCTACAGCTTTACAATTAGAAAAATCCACACAATAAAATACACATGCCCTCCCTAGGGAGGAGCTCTGGTAGTGTAGTGACTAAGGTACTTGACTGCTAACCAGAAGGCTGGAAGTTCAAATCCACCAGCCACTTCTCAGAAGGAAGATGGGGCAATCTACTTCCACAGTGATCCTGCCTCGGAAACCCAAGGAAGGGTTGCTGTGAGTCGGGTTCAACTCGATGGCACATAACAACAGCAACCTCCCTAGGGGAAGAGTTACTTATGGTACTTAAATATGGATAATTCTGTTTATCTTAGTACTGTTTCTGCTTACCATTGGCGATTCAGAGTTGGTGCCATCATCACTATTTTGTGTTTGTGTATATACATGATTGTTTGTCAAGCTGCCTGGAAGAGGAAAATTGGAACACAATTCTTTCTTTTGTTAGACATAAATGAAAATGGACTCTATCTCTTTGTTCTAAGCCCAGAGGATCCATCTCGTTTATTTTTCTTAACATCATGAATTGTAGGTTATAGTATAATCTGCATAGGATTAAAAAATCTGGTAATCAACAGAAGCATTTAACCTGTAACAAGTAGTAGTTTCACCAATAAAGTCGTGTTGCTTGAACCTCAGCTTGAGTGCGGTAGTTGGTGTTCTGAGGGACATTATTTTTATGTAAACTCTTAATAACCCTGACATTGTTTTTCAGATCCTAGAGCTACCAGTGCATTCATATCACCAATGTGATAAATATATTTTCATGGTGTTTCAGAAAGTGGAATGACTGAAGAAGTATTTTTCAGAAAAGAAAGACTCAACACATGAAAAGATGTTCAACTTCAGTGGTCATCTGGGACAGGCATATTGAAATGATTAAGAAATATCATTTCACACTTACTAGATTAGCAAACCTTAAAAAGTCTAACAGTACAAGTATGATGAAAATTAGGTGAAACGGAAAGTACCCTATTTGGAGAACAATGTGGCTCCATCTAGTGAAATTTAAACCCAACATTGGATTCCTAGGTGTATGACTATAGTGCCTTGCATATATATGCATAAGAAGATATGTAGAAGAAAGGTTATTGTAGCATTATTTGTAAAAACAAAATTATAAACAACCTAATGACTCTCAGAAAGGGATTGGATAATTAAATTATCCAAAATTCAGAAGTATACAACTGTTAAAAGGGATG